AAAAGAGTAGTGACAAATCCTATGTACGTAATCTACGTTTCTGAATACGCGCTGCGGCATACCCAAAACAAAGCCTGTATACCATCCTTATTTCATATGGCTTAGGACAATGCATCAAAGCATGCGGGTTCACATATGCAGAAAACGTAATACTTCAAGTCAAAGGATAGTTACACCCGTGGTCGCGCTAAAGATGCTTAGAGCATGAACTAAAAGCTCAAGCAACATCTTTAGGATGGGTCAGTCCGGCATCCTATTATCTCTAGATAATATCTGCCCATGTGCGGATGCGAACACACCGTCATTGACTATGAGACTAAGTCAAACATCCAACACACACTAGTCTCACATGCACTAACGATATCCCACTCTCGTTAATACTCGACTATGGACATTTAGATAAATATTTATTTCAAGATGTTAGTCTCATCAGCAGAATAACACTATCTGATAAACATCTTTTAAATATAAATCTAGGAATATAATATTTGTTTACATTAGCATGAGATGTGTAAAGATATTATATCTGCCTATACATGATAGGATAACGATGAACAGTTGGCCATCAGGGCACAACTCCAACAATCTCCCACTTGCACTATGGCCAATCTGATATCGGTCGAATGCCCATGGACCTAGTGTGACCCTCATGCTTTAGCTTTCCTAAAGGCTTGGTCAAGGGATCGGCTATATTGTCGTCAGTATCTACTTTGCAAATCATCACATCTCCTTTGTCTACGATTTCTCGTATGATGTGATAGCGTCGTACAATATGTTTGGTTTTCTGGTGAGATCGCGGTTCCTTTGCTTGTGCAATGGCCCCAGTGTTGTCGCAAAACAACGAGATAGGGTCATTAATACTAGGAACCACTCCAAGTTCAGTAATGAACTTCTTGATCCAAACAGCTTCTTTAGCTGCCTCGGCAGCAGCTATGTACTCAGCCTCTGTAGTCGAATCGGCGGTTGTATCCTCCTTGAAGCTCTTCCAGCTAAAAGCTCTGCCATTCAGGCAAAACAAATATCCTACTTGTGATTTTGAATCGTCTCTGTCGGTTTGGAAGCTAGCATCAGTGTAACCGACCACCTTTAGCTCTTCCTCACCACCGTATACCAGGAATGCATCCTTAGTATTGCGAAGATACTTGAGGATGTTCTTGGCCGCTGTCCAGTGTGCTTCTCCTGGACTTCCCTGGTATCTGCTGGTCACGCTTAAAGCGAATGAGACATCAGGTCTAGTACATATCATGGCGTACATGATGGATCCAATCGCAGAAGCGTATGGAACCTTCATCATGAGTTCCTTCTGCTCGGGAGTAGAAGGACTCTGGCTCTTGGAAAGAACCATGCCAGGTGTCATAGGTAAAGATCCTTTCTTTGAGTTAGACATGCTAAATCGATCAAGGATTTTATCTATATATGTACTTTGATTCAGACCTATTAACTTTCTTGATCTATCTCGGTAGATTCTTATGCCAAGGACATAACTAGCATCCCCTAAGTCTTTCTTGGAGAAGTTCTCGCTCAACCACGTCTTTACAGAAGTGAGAGCGGGAATATCGATACCCATTAACAATATGTCATCGACATATAAGATTAGGAATACTATTACACTCCCACTGACCTTCTTGTATACACAAGATTCGTCAGAGTTCTTCTTGAAGCCAAAACTGGAAATGGTTTCGTCAAAGCGTATGTACCAACTCCGAGATGCTTGTTTCAATCCATAGATTGAACGTTGCAGTTTACAAACTTTGGCAGACTGTCCAGCAATTTGAAAACCGTCAGGCTGTGTCATGAAGACATCCTCTTTAAGGTTCCCGTTAAGGAAAGCCGTCTTGACGTCCATCTGCCAAATTTTGTAATCATAATAGGCTGCAATCGCAAGCATTATCCGAATGGATTTCAGCATAACAACTGGAGAAAAGGTTTCATCATAGTCAATTCCGTGGATTTGTCTATAACCTTTTGCTACCAATCTAGCTTTGAAGGTATGAACCTTCCCGTCTACGTCTGTCTTCTTTTTGAAGACCCACTTGTATCCAATGGGATTTACCCCTTCGGGCGCATCAACCAAGGTCCAGACTTGGCTTGTGTACATAGACTCCATTTCAGATTTCATGGCTTCGAGCCATAGATCGGATTCGGGGCATGTAATTGCCTCGAGGTAGGTCTCTGGTTCGCCTTGATCTACCAACAAGACGTCACCTTCATCAGACATGAGAAATCCATATCTGACCGGAGGATTACGTATCCGGTCTGACCTACGTGGTATATCTTGAGCAATTTGAGGTTCAATTGCTTGATCTCTTTGCTCATGTTCCAACACTATCGGGACTTCTTCTTGTGGTTCTCGAATTTCTTCGAGGTCTACCTTTCTCCCACTAGTGATAGCAGAAAGAAACTCCTTCTCAAGGAAGGTTCCATTCCGAGCAACGAAAATTTTGTTATCGGATGGATGATAGAACTCATACCCTCTAGTTTCCTTGGGGTATCCCACAAAAATTACTTTATCAGATTTAGGCTCCAACTTACTAGACGTCATGAGACGTTTTACATAAGCTTCACAGCCCCAAATCTTAAAGTACGAGAAACTCGGTTTTCTCCCACGCCATAGTTCGTATGGTGTGCTCTCGACAGCTTTAGATGGAACTCTGTTGAG